GGGTTCAAAAAAATAACCTCACCATGGATGCTGGAGGTGAAGCAACATAAATATTGAAATGCTCTCATGTTCATCTATTAAATAAAATTTTTCATGATGTTTTGTTGTTGTTGTTGTTGTTGTTTTGAAGGAGAATACCACTTTTGCATTACGGTTGAAATTAGAGAAACTGTGCATGATGATAAGTCTAACGAGTAAGTTGCACTTGAAGCAGTATTTGCATTTTCACAGGATGACAAGGTGCATCTATTATAGATTACATAATTGTCATTAAAGAAGTCATCTATGATTTATAAGCCATGAAATTTATGTATGACAAAAAATATTTGACATAAATCATGTTATGTTTGTTACGTTCATCATATATAATATTTATAGATACCATTTTGTATGAACGAAAGACACTTACAACTAGACCAAGTATATGCTGCTCTAACTTTTAAGAAGAAGATGAGCAACTTGTGGATCAATCTGATGCTCAAGGAGAAGGTCTTGTAGTTCGAGATAGAACTCAAGAGAGTTATGGTGCTGATACGAAGAAGATCAAAATCAAGGAATAATGATAATATCTATAATTACTATAAGAAAAAGGGTCACATCAAAACTGGATGCTATAAGTTACAAGACAAAAATAAGAAAATAACTTCAATTTAGAAATACAAACAATCAAATGATTCTGGTGAAGCAAGTGTTGTTAAAGAAGTTGCTAGTGAAGTTGAGCTAGTTTTCTCTTACGTAAACCTAAACCTCATGACATAGGGTTCTTGGTTCAGCCTGCATGTTTCATGTGTCCCAATAGTGACAACTTTTTAACATAAGCAATCTTGTGACGTTTGGGTTCTTGATTTAGCCTGGACGTTTCATATGTGTTTCAATAAGAACTGATTTTTAACATATGAAACTTTGTCGTAGCGTACCATGTTAATGATCAATAATGATTCATGTAAGATTAGTGATGTTGAAACTCTTAGAATCAAGATGTTTGATGGATCCATCAAAAAACTTGGAGAAGTGAGACATGTCCCATATTTGAAAATGAATTTAATTTCCTTAAGTACTCTTGATGCTAAAGTGTACAAGTACTCTGGTTAAGGTGAAGTTTTAAAGGTCGACAAAGACTCTCTTGTTATGATGAAAAGGCAGAAGAAGACTGATTGACTATATGTTTTGTAAAACTCTACAGTGATAAGCGCTGTAACTGTTACTACTTCCATATCAGATGATGAAACAATCAGACTGACATTTGCATCTTGGGTATATGAGTGAGAATGCCATGATTGAGCTGAGTAGAAGAGAACTTCTAAATGATTAGAATATTACTCATTTGAAATTTTGTAAGCACTGTGTGTTTGAGAAACAGAAGTGAGTTAAGTTCAATACTGATATTCACTATACCAAAGACAAATTAAACTACATACATTCTGATCTTTGGGGACCATCTATAGTACTATCTGAAAATGGTGCCAAATATATGTTGATCTTTTTGATGATTTCTTTAGAAAAAATTGAGTTTTCTTCTTGAAGGAAAAGATTATTGTTCTTATCACTTTTATAGAGTGGAAGCTTATGATGGAAAAGGAGACTGGAAATCAAATCAAACGTCTTCGCATTGATAATAAAATTGATGTTCTATTCAGGAGAATTCAATGCCTTCTTTAAATCAGAAGGAATTATGAAAGACTTAACAATCCGACACACTTCAGTAAAATAGTGTGGCAGGGCGAATGAACAAGACTATAATGGCAAAGGTTCATGCATACCCTCTAATATCAAGCTACCTAATTCATTTTGGGCTGAAGCTATTTCTACAACTTGTTACTTAGTGAATTGCTCTCATTTCATTGCTATTGACAATAAGACTTAAGAGGAAATTTAGTCAGCTAAACCTGTATATTATTCTAATTTAAAAAATTTTTGCGGCTCCATATGTGCTCATATTAATAATTGGTAAATTAAAGCTTAGATCTATAAAATTTGTATTTCTTGGTTATAAAACTGGACTTAAATGTTATAAGTTGTGTCCAGAAACCAATAAAGCGATCATACAACATAAGTTGTGTCCGGAAACTAATAAAGCGATCATACAACATCTACTAAAGAATATAAGAGTGATGAATAAAGTAAGATGTTTAGCAGAGAATTGGAGCTTCATATTGATATATGTACGTCTTTGGGCATAACTTTTGAGTCAAAATCAAATAATCATGATGATGTTGCTTTTACACCATCATGTCAGTAACCATCATAATATTTATTGTCAGTAATAAAATAAGAAGAGATTTTACTTTATTGTTGCCATCGCCGAGATCAAACATGGCTCAAATACTATTTTTTATAACTTGATATTGAATCGAAACAATAAACAATAAAATAAGCAAAAGAAAGAACGCATATTTTACATTAAAAATTCAAGATGAAAAAAACTACAGGCAGAAGAAGACAATTCACTATATCAAATTTTAAATTACAAGTGAAGAGCTTTGGCCAACATAAAACTAAAAAAAGAAAGAGAGAGAGAGAGAGAGAGAGAGAGAGAGAGAGAGAGAGAGAGAGAGAGAGAGAGAGAGAGAGAGAGAGAGAGAGAGAGAGAGAGAGAGAGAGAGAGAGTTATAGACTTTAGCAAGACCCTTTTAAAGAAAATAATTAAAATAAGTCAATAAAGCAATAACATAGATTGCAATCAAAAGATTATTATAAGATTGATCAAACGGACGAAGCCTTCAATCAGTGTGCTCATGGTTTTCTTTTGAAGTTTCAATTTGCATGCTCAATATTTTCTCATAAGACAATGAGCGGGAACTACAAAATTCAGATAAAATTTTTTGCATTTTTTACATTTGCAAGAAATTCCTCAAAATAGCTTTTTTCATGAATGGTGCTTAAGTTGTTAAGTTGGCGTGCCATCATTGCCGAGTGGGTGTAGTCTCAATGATAAAGCCCACGTTTAAACACATGCATCTTATCTGATTATGCTAAGAGTTTTGATGACTACATCAAATATTCATGATTTTATACGACCAACAAATTTCAGCTGAGCTCCACCTTAAAGGAAAATCTCCTCTAGTTCATCTGGAGTTCAACGAGAAGTTAAAAGAGCTAAGAACTTGGATAAATATGCCATCAAAAAGTCTCTATTACCACACAGTAACCTCTCACCCCTATATTGACAATAACATATCGAGGTCTCGGATTGAAAAGATATTATAGTTGAGTAAATATGAAAAGGGCTAGGAATCTTAGTTGAAATCTTGTGTTTATATAGTTGATTGCCTTACCTAAATATTCAACTATTATTTATGATTTTATGATGGCAAGCTAAATATTACCATCTCTCAAGTTTTAGACATCTATCACATTAGTAATGGAGAAGTTCAAGCCACTTACTTCAAGCACTTCCCTAATGAACCACATAATCTAGATTCATATGGACTCATCCTCCACCTTATGGTGTTTGGCAATTCTTCTTGGCTTCTAGGAGCTCAAGAATTGGATAAGAAGTTGTCGCTTATAATTTCTAAGGTTTTAAGCTCTCTATAGGTGGCTTAGAAAATTGACCTCCCTATAGGTAGATTGGAGAACCAAGCTAACGCCATATCCTTCAATACAGTAAGTAGCAAGCAATAGCTAAAGAGAGTCAAATACCACATGCAATCCCATATGGAATTGAACTCAATAGACGTCATCAGCTTTTAGGATCAGTTGTGTCGTGGTAGAAATTTAGCTAAGGAACTTTCAATTTCTTTAGCAACAATACTTGGCAGATTTTCTTTAAAACTACTTCTATCTAAGAAACTAATGAGGGTGGCAAGCTGGCTAGTTGGAAGAAACTAAATCAAGCTGGTGATACTAACCCGAGATCATGAATTAGTCTAGGAAAAATTAATTCTCTCCCTATCTCTTCTTCCCCACCCCTGCCCACCCCAGCCCGTGATGGTTATTTCTCATGTTTTTCGATGTCTATCCATGATTTGTTCTCAATCTTTTCCTTCCCGGAACCATATTTCAACAAAAGTGCAAGTTATTAACATAAAAATATGATAAATGTTAGGATGAAAGTCAATAAAACATGAAATGAACACCAACAATGGAATGGTAGCACTTTCAGGCAGAGCCCTAACTGTTTGCCTCTTCTATATACTTGGCTAGAATATTGTAGAAACAGCTCTTAGGCATTTGCTCCCACTTCTATCTCTTGTGTATAGGGCTTAACGAGTTTTCTAAAAAAACTCTCTATCCGAGGTTACATCAAGTTTTTACAAGAGATTTGTGAATCTGTTGTGGATTGAAATCCCTTTCCAAGCTAGACCATTGGACACCTCAATATGATATTGACTAGTGATGCTCCACTTTTTCTGTTGGCTCTAGATTGGTGGAATATTGAACTGTCTGATGAGTTCCCTAAACCGTAAGCAAACAGCTGAATGTAAAGAGGAAAGAAGAAAGCTCAAAAGCTTTTTTTTTCTGCTTACCATATTCACTACTAAAAACTACAGAGAATAAAAGGTTTACATTGTAGAGAAAGTGTACAGAAAGACGATTACACTATCAATTAGTTAAAGATGACAGCTTTTGTATCATATGAATGGCTAGGATTAATAAGGCAGTTCACAGTAAACGGCTCTGATTATTTGAGTGGAGATGGGAACAGCAGAGAAGACTTGTTACAGTTTAACATTCAGTAGTTGTTTGTTTGTATATTGCAGGAGATATAGTGTTGAGTGTAGAATTAACCACTCCATAAATTGGATCCTAGCCATTTCTCAAGACTCCTCATGGGTGCACTAAAAGGTAGCTCCTACATAGTGCTCATTGAATCAAATGAGAGTGGGGGCTGAATCTCAGCTCCACACTCTGACCTAAGCCAATGTTGCAACTTCCTAGCAAGCATAAAATAACACAATGTACATTCTAATGTGTGATTCATTGACAGTGAATGGACAAAAGTCAAATGAGTTCCACTGTTAGAAGCGATTATAAGTCATCAGATATTTAAACCAAACCTTTGTACTCGCGAATGAATTTTCCTAGAAGAATTTCACTCCGCCCATTCAATCTTCCGGTTCCATAAGAATCCGCAGTATCAAATAATGTGATCCCATTTCTAACAGCCAAATTGAATGTCTCTTGAAGAGAAGCATCCATTTCTTCTCGATATCCCCACAGCAGCTGATTACCCCAAGCCCATGTTCCAAATCCCATGGGAGAAACGGATAATGGACCAATTTTGACCTATAATTTGAAAAACATTTCGAGTTGATGTAAACAATTTACGTCAGCGAAGAGGGAAAAATGGAGGGGCTCCGGATTACCTTCTCCCAAGGCCAAAAGAGGGGACCAAGTCGAGATGGGAAGTCGAGAGAGCATTTTATTGTTTTATTGGAGCTGCGGGTGAAGAAGCCGGCACGGGTAAGACTGGGGACGCAGAACGGCGTCTTCGGCGAGGAAGAAAGTGCAGCCATAAAGGCTATGGAGGTCGGAGCAAGGGATGTAGACTACTCTGAAATGTCTATTAATAAGTTATTATACTTTTGAAGACATAAAGACGGTTTGGCCGAGTGGTCTAAGGCGCCAGATTTAGGCTCTGGTCCGAAAGGGCGTGGGTTCAAATCCCACAGCCGTCACCCGAAAGATTTTGTTTTGTCCAAAATGAAACTATTTATTTTAACAAAACGAGTTAATTCAATTAACAAAAAATAATAAAATTGATTATAAAAAACACTTGATTAAGATGTTATATCACGTTTATTATTTATTATTATAGAATTTTATTTCTTTGAATGTTGAGTTAAAAATATTAAGTATATATATAATTTAATTAATATTAATATTGTGATGGTTGAGTGATTATTTGTTGTTAGCACATATCATTTTTCTTCTGTATTATGAGTGATTGAATTATAAAATTGATTTTCAGGAGATGTATAATAGTAATTCATTGATAATTGTCGTTATTTGACAATAATTCATGACAATTAGGGCTATCAAAACAGCTCGTGTTCGGCTTGTTTTAGCTCGAAATACTACTAATCAATTATATATATATATCTTTGATGAGTAATATTTTTAAAATTTTAATTGACTGCAAGACTAAAAAAAATTATAATCAATTAAAAGTATTATTGAAGAAAATAGAATAAAAATTATTAATTTAGATTCAAATGATTTTTAAATCTTGCCCTAATCCTTAACATCTTATGGCTATGTGTTTATGGTTGTCAAAACGACTCTTTGTTCATGAACGGCTCGTTTTCGGCTCATTAAACAAACGAGCCGAACACACATACTTTTTGAGTTTGAAATATAAACGAGCCAAACAAGAGCTAAGCCTGAGCTCGCTTGTGTTCGGCTCGTTTACACCCCCAATGACGATGTCAGGGTAGTAGTTGATTATTATAGATAAAGTAGTCTGTTGTAAATGTTATAGATGATGAGTGTAGAGTCAACTTATCATTGAGGTCATAGTTGAGAGTTATGGTAGTAGTTTGTCATGTGAGTTGTAGACATTTGCTTCAGAAGCATCGATTGATCACATAGGCTATAGCAGAGAGCTTCAACAACGTCAAAAAGCCATAGAAGCCGAAGATTGGAATTGTGTGAACTGTGATGAGAAGTTGCAAGGGTTGTGATAATGTTCGTTGACTGTAAAAATTGATATAACATCTGTAGATTGTAAATGTATGAGTTGGGAGATGTATGAGTTGTAGATCATGTAGAAGCCATAATTGATCATGTAAATCGTAGTAGTGAGATGCGAGGTGAGAACTTTAAGAGTCCATAGAATGTCACTGTATTCTGAGTACAAGGGTTGTTAGTAGTTATTACGGGGAGTTACATAGTATATGACATGTGTAGTTACACTGTCTTTAAGTGTATGTATCGTTGCATCGTCTTTTGGGGTGCATTTGCAAGAGTGGGAAGTGCTTTTCGAATCTTCAGTGTATGAATGAAGCTATTTTTCAGCTCCTAAGTCTCCTAGTCCTTCAAGCTCAACTTTATGTCTTCCTCCATTAAGAAGATAGGGCTCTTTTTATTGAGCTTTGGAGAAGCCTCTCAGCAAATAATGAATTCAACCCACTTTATCGGAGAGGTGCCCTTAATTAGATAACATTTTATGAACATTAAAGTGTCTTAATGATGTCATAATTGAGTGATCTTAAGCTCATTAGATTCCTTTTATCTAGACGCTTGCATCAACTATAATATTTTCAAATTTGGAATCTATTTGACATTTCAATTAGGCATTGAAAGCTTTCAAATGTGGCTTAACATGGGCTTAATTTGATTCGGATAAGACCAACTTTAGTGTCATTGTGTTTGTCTTGTTGAGCTGGTCCCATTGACTGTAAGTTTGTTTGAATTGGGGTTCTGTATAATTTATAATTAAGGTTTGAATGTTTCTTGCTAAAAAATTACCACAAAATTCATGTCATGCTTGAAGATTTGTCTCCGAAGATGAAAATTTCTTAATGACATATCAGTTGTCCTCTATTTTTTTTACTGTAAGTTTGTTGAAATTAGGGTTCTAGAAAAATTTTAATTAAAATTTGAATGTTTCTTGCTCAAAAATGACCACAAGATTCATGTCATGCCCAAAGATTTGTCTCAGATGATGGAAATTTGTTGATGACATATCCATTGCCCTCTATTTTTTGGTGAGATTAATTTCATCATCCAGAAACTAATATGTGACTTAACATTGCACAATAATTTAACACTTAACTCAGGTAATAAAAGTGTTGGTATAAACAACAAATGTTCTTACATGAAAACCCAGAAAGGGAAAAAACTACGAGGTCTAGCCTAGTTCAACTGATTTATTATGAGCTAGTGACTACTTATATAAGCTCATGTCCCACATACGAGAAATGGTTACATAAATTCTTGAGTTGCAACAGTCGTGTGCAAAAGAGCTTATTGCCCTATGATAAGGAGTAGTTACCCTCTGTTAGGGAAAGGTTGTAGTGGGGAGCAATTGTTGGAGCTTCGGTACACCATATTTAAGGTGTGTCGTGGCATGGTGGTTAGAATGATGTACTACTCTGTAAGATACTTCATGACTCTATGAATTTGATTATTACTTTGTACGATGCTTCATCGCTCTGCAACACAATCTTAACTCCACACAGAGTATTGTTATAACGAGCAAAGGACTAATCTTCTAAACTCAATTTCCCCTCCCATTTGTTGAATTTTGAAAACTTCCTTGACTGCTGGAAGGTTTGGAAAGAGAACCATGTTGAAATAATTCTCTTTATTACTACATGGTTCATATGGATGGCAAGAAATAGCAATAAATATGAGGGAAAAACTCAAAGTGCCACACAAATTGTTATTAATTGCTATGCCTATACTCTTAAGATAATCAATCTCATGGGTTACAAGATTAAAGCTCCTGGGTGCTCCAAAATTGTTAATACTCAAAGTTCTCCTTCTGCCAAATCACATTTCATGTTGTTCCACTGGGAGAAACCTTCTTATCCTTGGATCAAAATCAACACTGATGGGAGTTATAGAAGACACACTGCTGGTATTGGGTGGGATTTTTAGAAATAACTTTGGGGAATGCCTACTGCTTTTCCAATCTCCCACTGATGTTTTAAATGCCTTACGGACTGAAGCCTTAGCTTTGGTATGGGCTCTTCAAACAACTGTTGTTATGGGATGGAACCTTCTAATTGTGGAGCTGGACTCATCATGGCTAGTCCAGCTCTTAAAGGATAACATCTCCCCACCTTGGTTTCTTCTCTCAGCTTTTAAGCAAATTAATCACATGAAGATGACTCACAACTTACAAATTATCTGGAATCATATCTTCAGGAAGGGTAATAGATGTGCTAATTGGCTTGCACATCAAGTTGCACTGTCTATGTTGCCTAAAGTGAATACTACCCCCCCTGTGGAGCTGGCTTGGTTGATTAATGCAGATCTATCTGATCTGCCTTATATGAGATGGGGGGTGTCAAATGCTGATTCTTCAAACTATCCTACCTAGGGAGGGCTATTGTCTTCTTGGGTCCTTGTTGTTTTGGAATTTTCTTTTCCTTTTCTTCTCTTCAG